GGTATCAGACTCGGTCGATTGGCAGAAAATCTTTCACAAGAGCGAGACAGACCAATGAAGCACCGAACGTGTAAGGTATGGGTTCATACAAAGGACTATACACACAGAGAATGTGAGGCACGCACCTGAGCTGACGAGAAATTCTCCACATAGCGTCGGACCTGTGCGCGCAGATTGGGTTCCTTGGCAAACACGGATTGGAGTTGATGGGGGGGCAGTTGCAACAGCACCTGGTAGCTCTGTGGACGGGTTTTAATGCAGCAGCGGATAAAACCGTCCCACAGCGCCGCACTCTTCCACACCTGTATGGGTAAAAAGGATAACCTTCAATAAAAAGAACATTTTCACAAAACAGAGGCGCATTAATATCTACTTAAATTAAAACTGTAGATATGCTTGTGTAAGGCTGCAACCATGAGATGCGACTACCTTAAAGTGACAAGAAGAATTGGGGATAACAAGACTTGAGGTCAAAACCTAGCATTGTGTGTGGCAAGAAGGCATTGTTTTTTCAAATTCTGCGTGCCGGCTAAATCAGACATGATCACAGCCGTAACAAGTACAAGCGGCTCACCTGTTTGCGAATAAGCCGGAAGAGGACATTAATGACGTAGCCGGCGAGACGGGGATAGAGGGCCAGGGCCTGCATCACAGTGCGAAGGAAGAGGGTGGGGAGAACGGGTTGATCAAGTAGCTGCCCAATGGCAGCCGAAAGACGCTCCTGGGTGAAGAGACGACGCTCGGAGAAGCAATACAGACAGGCCCGCAAGATGATCCGAATGTCAACAAGGGGCTTCGCTGGACAGGGGAAGAGATGGGGCAAAAGCAGAAGGCAATTTAAGCTTAGATTATGGCAAACATTAGACAAAAAATTGTTGGAAGTCCACAGCAGGCTCTCCACCTCCATCACACCAAGCTAGGCCCAACGCGTTTGTACGCACCGGCATACACTTCTACTCCCCAAGGGGTTCACATGATAGAAATGCTCTCCTCTCTCCGCCCATGACTGGACACCCTCAATAGATGCAAAAGGGTTAGATTTAGGAATTTGTTCTGAAGAAGGTTGATTCGTTCGGTTCCACCTGAAGTATTTTCAGGTCTGGCATATGTGGTTTAAGAAGGATTATCTGCAGCTGGAACGAGTGCAGGCAAGGGCTATGAAGATGGTCAAGAATCTTGGTAATCTGTCTTACGAAGCCAGACTGGGTGAACTAGATTTGTTTCTTCTCAATTACAGGCAACTACGTGGTGACCTATTCAAACCTACCGAGTTGTCACAGGCCGTGAGTGCGGCCTAGAATTTGATGACTTCTTCGAATTGGTTCGGACGGACCACCTACGCGGTCATCCTTTTAAACTGCGGAGAAAATTGACCCGTAAACACGTTTAACGGAATGCTTTCTAGCAGAGGGTCGTTGGAGCTTGGAACGGACCGCCTGACGAGGTGGTCTTTACAGAAACTGTTGGGACGTTTTAATGCAAATCTGATTCTCATTTGCTGAGAAACTGTTGTACATAAAATGAATATTGTATCAGTAGCGACAGCTTGCGACTGGCTCACACATATCGCTGACGTCAAATCTAGAGTTGTCATATGCACTGTTGTTAAAGTTAAATTTTATTACGATTGCAGAACATGAATAGGGAGCTCACTGACGAAAGCCTTCTTCCCTCAATGAAGTGACAAAAAGATGCCATCGATGGAACAAGAAGTGTTGTGGCCGGACGTTTCAGATTCTCATTCGAATCCACCACCAAAAACAGTTGCAGATATGGGCAATAACGGTACGAGGTATTCAGTATTTATATTATGTAATTCCCGTACTACAATTACCAATTTTTGCGATTACAACGGGGGACCGTGCTTGATACACAAACTGCCTGTCAGTCCCCGTTCGAGCCGTTTATGGTCGCGATTCTATCATCCCCATTGGATATTTGGCAAGGTCATTACAGAGCCAGTTGGTTCATTAGCACCTGAATTCTTGGTCGATAAGAAAGGGATGGCTAGTCCTGGAG